CCCAGTCTGATGGAGGAGACATGAACCCTGATTCTGGGGGCCCCCAGTCTGATGGAGGAGACATGGACCCTCCCTCTGGGTGCCCCCAGTCTGATTGAGGAGACATAATTCCTACCACCAAGAAGCTCCATCCTAATGACAGAGATCATCCTTATTTCCCTTTGAAAGATAAATCCACCCTCTGAAGGTGGAAAGCCTGTTTTTCTTACTATAATGCAAAGGATGAAACATGATCCCGATTGTCCAGGCTCTTCCAGCCTGAAGAGGCAGGCATGCTCCACCTTTGCTTTATACCCAAGTCTGAGTCCTGAGCTTTCTACCTGACTGTGATGTGGAGGTCAGCTCACACCATTAGCCCAGTTCCCCAATATGGTAGAAGAGGCGATATCCCCTGTCTTAGGGTCCACTTGTCTAAAGGAAAAAGGATGCCCCCAAACTCAGACTAAGGCCTCTCTTTTAAAACCACTTTGTCTGGCGTACCTTTATATGACTGAGAGCCCTCAGTCTGATGCAGGAAGCCTATCTACTCCTGGCCTGACATAAGCGGTGTGGGCTACACTTGGGGGACCCCCTCCCAAGTCAGACGGACTAGACAAGTCTCCTCTCAGCCTTAGAGGGTGACATAGCCGTGAGCTGCGTGTCCCTGTCTGGTGGAGGCGGCAGCCCCTGTCTGAGAGACACTCCCTCCCCCTCCTGCACACTCACGGGCCACCTGCAGCTCCACCTCCAGGGACTCCGTCTTGCCCTGCAGCGTGACGGTCTTGAGAGTATAGCGGCCAGCATCTGTGAGGTTCAGCTTCTGCACCAGCAGCGAGCAGTTGGCGAAGCCCACCTCCCGGCCCGTGTGGGCGGGGCCTGCAATCCAGTTTCCGGATGGCAGTTGGCTGAGCAGCCGGTTGGGCTCGGAGGCAGGCCCGCGGTACCATGCGTAGACCAGCAGGTCCTTGGGGTAGCCCTGCACCGTTAGTGTCACGTCCTGGCCCTCCATCGGCTTGGTTGGCACCGGCACGATTGTCATGGCAACCACTGCCGCTGGGGAGAGCGAGGGGGAGCTGTGTCAGCTGGGCCTGCGTTAGGGTCAGGATCCCTCCCAGCCCTCTGCCAGCACCTCTGTGCCTCCCCTACTGGCCGGCACTTCCCCACGTGGGTGCTGGGAAGGAGACAGAGGAAAGAGGTGACTGAGTGGCAGAGGTGGGTTTTGTGAGCCAACAATGTCTGTTAGGGAGCCGTGTCTTCCCCCATCAGATTGGGAGACCCTAGAGGGTGGGTCCGCCTCACCCCCAATAGACTAGGAATTTCCAGCCTTTGGGGATATCTCTCCTGTAACATTGGAAGGTCCTAGAGTTGGACCATGTCTCCTCCATCAGATCCAAAATATAGGAGCCATGTCTCCCCCATCAGATAGTTGGGAGTTGTATCCTCAGACTGTGTGTTTTCTGTCGAGTCAAGAGGCCTCAGTGTATGGGCATGATACTACCCCCAGATGGAAAGATCCCACTAGGAGGGAGCCCTGAGGTCACATCTCCTCCCAGTTTTTGGGGCTGGGCCCTTCCAGTTACACTGGGGACTTCAGAAGTTGGATGGGTCCATGTCTAGCCATCAGACTGGGGATTCCTAGAAAGGAGGGGTGACCTGTACTCCCCCATCAGATTGGGAGTACTGCAAAGGTGGGTACTGTCTCCCCCATCAGACTAGGAATCATGAAAAAAGTCTATGTCTTCTGAAGACCACTTCTCCCAGTCAGAATGGCAACTCCTGAGCTGGGCTGAGGCTCCTCCCTCTGAGGGCAGGTGTCTGGCTCCATCCCTGCTTGGAGGCCCATGGATATGAGGCACAGCCTCTTCTCTGGGCCAGGTGCTTCCCTGCTGTGGAGCATCGCTGCCAGGGCAGAAACCATGTCTCCTCCATCAGATCAGTCTCCCCAGGTGGGAGGAGGGTGTCTCCCTTTTCCTCTGTCTCTCCCTTGGCACTTGCCACAGTTCAGGAGGCCCTTGGAGGCGCTGTGCCTACTCCCTGCACAGGCCTGAACACCTAGGACACCCCACCCCCCATCTTGAGCTGCACAGGCAGCTGCCAAGATCCGCTGCCAAAATCCCGGGTGGGTGGGGCAGGAGGTTCACTTACCTGCGGGATGTCATTTCTGCTTTGGGTGAAAGAGTATCCACCCTTTGGATGAGACCCAGCCTGTTAGTAGGGTAGGGAAGGGAGGAGGAGAGGAAGGGAGGAGGGAGGAAGGGCAGACTGCTCCCTCTGTCCCCAGGGGATGGTGGCCCCTTGGGAAGAAGCCAAGGCAGAATGAATGAGGCCCCAATGTTCAAAGCCACCATCCCCAGGGGATGATAAAGTGTCCCCTGAGGATCCTGATGGCTCTGAAAACACCAGGTATATGTGCACTACCTCCAGTCCCTAGGTCTTTTAAGGACAGAGGCGTGAAACAGTGCCTCTCTTGCGGTGTTTTTCCATTTACTAACAACTGGTCTGATTTTCTGTGTGTGTGTAAGAGAGAGAAAAAGAGAGAGAGAGATGTGCTCTGTAATCTGGGCCAGATAATGGGTAATTGAGTTGGCTGCACACAAGTTCAGCTGTGTGTGTGGCAGGGAGTGGGTCCAGTCCCTAAGCAGCTGGTGAATTTAGAACAGGGGCACCCCCACATGAAGGGACCTCTGAGTGCTTTTCCGCTCTGCTGCCCATAACATGGGACCCATGGCTCACACTTTACTTTGCCACCCCTCAGGGTAGAATCTGACTTGTACTGTGTTTTCCAGGTGTTAAGGTAGGAGCTGTCTCCTCTTCTGGATGAAGAGGCATCCACCCAATAGGGTACCTTGTCACCTGGCCAGTGAAAGGTTGACAGTCTCGAACTTTCCAATCATTGTTTGGACAAATGGTGGCTCCACTGTGTGTGTTTGTGTGTGTCGGGGACAGCCAAACCTTCACGGTCCAACGGGGTCTCCTTGAGGAGGGGCCAGGCTGGGGGCTACTCACCAGAGAGCTTGACCACCACTGAGGCAGATCCAGAAAGCAGGGTCTTGGGGTTCTTAGCAATACATGTGTACGTGCCCTCCTGAGCAGCCGTCATGCTGCTGATGTTGAGGTGGTCCAGGCCATTCTTTAGTGCCCGCCCGTTGAAGGCCCACACGTACTCCGGCTCTGGGCAGGACCGGGACACACACCACAGTGTGAGGGACGTGTTGAAGTCCAGTTTGATGGTGCAGCCTGTGCGGGTGGTTGAGTCTTGGAGAATGGCCACGCGTTCCGGGCCAACTGAGGGCAGGAGGGAGAGAAACAGGGCAGTGGGGGGAGCGCGGCGGAGGGGGGCTCCCGGCTCCACCAGATTGGGGGCCTGCGGAGGGAGAAAGCCCCGGTCTTTTGGGTTCCCACCTCTCCCTCTCTGTCTGGCTGCCTGTCTGTCTCTCTTTTGCTTTAGGGTCTTAAGAATCAAGTTCCTCTCGGGAGCTCTGCTTTTGCTTGTCAAAGGAGGGCACTGAGCCAGACCAAATTTCAAGTATGTTTGAAATCGATGGCTCCATTGAAAAAGATGATAGTGAAGAAGGAGAAGCAGCAGAGCAGTTTGAGTGGTTTCTGATAGTCATTCTGTGTCTACAACTCTAAGGCTTCAAGAGTTGATGTTTCTAGGATTTAGAATGCTAAGCTTCTAGATATCAAGGTGTTTCTAAGATTCTAGAATCAGGAGCTCTAAGAGTTTAGAATGTCACTCTAAGAGTAAACATTTCTGCTTCTAGGGTTTCTAGGATTCTCAGAGTCTAGAATTCAGCACTTCTTAAATCTAGAATTCCCCAGTGGGAAGATTCTAGGCTCTAAGTTTTTCTACATTACTGGCACTAGTGTACCTTGGTGGTTGGTTTTTCCTGATTCCATAGTGCGGATCTGCTGCCCCTGGGAATGACTCCATGCGTTGGTTCTGTTTTTATTAATTTAATCAGCACCCCTCTTCCCACTTCCACCACTCCCTTCCCGCCTCCCTTCCCTACAGGTCTTGCTTCCGACTGAAGGACAGTCCACTTCTAAGGTGGATCTCAGTCTTTCAGAGATGGGTCAAGTACATTTGAAGCAGGAGCCTGGTTCCTAAGCCCAGCTAGGCCTACTCACTCACTGGGTGTCCTTGGGCACCCTCTTCTGTCCTCAGTTTCCCCACCTATGAGGTCCAGGGATTGGGCCTCTCTGATGGGCCCAGGAGGACTCACAGTACACGGTCAGGTTGAGGGGCTCGCTGCGGCTGACGCTGACTGGGTTCCAGACCTCACACTGGTAGGCTCCTGCTTCTTCCCTTCGAATTCCGTGCCTGGTCAGCACCCGGCTGTCTGGGGACAGGCCGAGGCGGACTGCGATGGGCAGGGCATCACCATTGAAGAGCCAGCGGACCTCAGCAGGGCTGGGGCTGCTGCATACCAGGCGCAGGGTGTCTCGCCGCTCCACAAGCTCTGTGCTGTTGGCCATGACCACAGGTGGGGCCAGGATCTCTGTGGGCAAGAGACAGAGGGGGAGGGGGCCGGGCACCGCCTGCTCCCAGGGACTTCCGCTCTTCGGGACAGGGGTAGGTAGGATCCTGGTGGTGCCCTGGCATCTATAGCCAGAGGGGTGACGTAGGAGGCGAGTCTAATCTGGGAAGTCATCCTGAAGGAGGGGACTATTTTAATGCTATTTTAAATTATTTTTTTCTTTTTGGGAGGGGAATAGTGTTAAGATAGCTTACATTTTCCTCTCTCTCTCTCTCTTTTTTTAAAAGAGGGATTGAGGAGGAAATGGGAAGACTCCAATGGGGTAGAGGGGCGTCTGGGGTGTCTCACCATAGACCTGTAAGTGTCCGTAGCCCACCTCCGTCTGAAACTGCCTGTTGAGAGTCTGCAGGATGTAGGTGCCCGAGTGCCTGGGCAGGGCACCCTGGATGTCCAGGCTGCCGTCTGGACGCACGGCCTCCCTCCCAGTGTGCGCCGGGCCAGGAGTCTCATCACCCGTGCTCACGATGTAGCTGGCCACCAGGTAGGCCAGGCTGAGTGTGGGCCCTGCATACCAGTTGTAGGCAAGCAGCTCCCCCGACAGCCCGTGGACGACCAGGGTGACATTGTCCCCCTCGGCTGGCTGGGCAGGCTCAGGGGTGATAGAGATCTCGGCCCTGGTGCCCAGGAAGGCGGCTGAGGAAAAGGAGGGGATGAGCGAAGCTGGCTCCACCGATCCCCCTCATGGAGGAGACTTGGCTCCTGGCATCTAGTAAGTGCTTAGTAAGTGTGGGCCAGACACAGTGTCTAGGTCCCGGGGAGGGGTGCATTCTGAGGAGCAGTGAAGTTTCCAGCCCACAGCTCTGGCAAGTCCGGAGCTCACATTTGGCCTAGGGAACCTGGAAATTTCACTGGGCCCAAAGACTTTCCCAAACCAGATCTAGGAGGTCAAGCTGGTTCATCCAGCCCAGTGGGTTTTATTTTCCCACAGTAGAGGTCAGAGCCTATAATGCCCATCCCTCCCCAGGCCCCAGCCTTCACCTGGGTCAGGACCTCTAGCCCCCAACCTCAACTTTCTTCATCTGCTTTTCTGCCACCCCACTGGATCACAGCAGATGTTAGGGACCTGATGGATACTCTCCACCCTTTTCTTCACAACCCAGCAGCTGGGCTGGACTAGCTGGTCAGGACTGTTTGGGTTTGACAAACATCCCATGTGTCCCCTGGAATGGGTAGCCACGGTGGTTCTCATGGAAGAAGTCCCTACATGACCAGCCTGTTTTCTGGTCCTTTCCAGCCTGGTAGGGCAGATGAGGAGGGAGGCTTCGGAGTCTAGTGCTCTGCCTTGCCGCTTTCTGGCTGGGTGACACCGGCCATGATTGCACCTTCCTGAACTTTGGTTTTCTCATCTATGAAGTGGTGGCCATGGGTGGGCCCTGGCAACATGGTGGTCACACATGGAAAGCATTTAAAGCAGCTTCTAAGAAATGCTGCTTCTAATGACCTGTGAGGGGTTTGGTGCACCAGACCCATTTCATGGATAAGGAGAACTGAGACTGAGAAGAAGCCACATCCTTCCAGAGTGTCAGAATCCACTGTGTTCAAACTTCCTAGCTCAGTGAGGGCTTGCCACCTGCATGAGAAGTTTCCTTACATCCCAGCCTTGGGAAATCTCCACCCTGCAAACCTCTTTGGGTGTCTGTCCCTGCTCACCCTCCACACCTGGTGCCTCTTGGAGGGGCAGACGGCCTGGATGGCGCCAGCCCTTCCCCAGCATGCCGGACCTCTGGCTCATACCTCCCCACTCCCTGGTCTGGGGCTGCCCTCCCTTCCCCAGCCTTGGTGGGGGCTGAGGTTCAGGGGGGTCCATACCCCCGCTCACCACTGAGGAGGAGCCAGCTGCACCCGGTCAGCACCATCTTCAGCCCCCAAAGCCGGTCTTGGAGACAGTGGTGCGTGCGTCCAGTTCTGAGACCCTTCCTGGTCGGGGCTTGGCTGTGTCTGGCGAGGGATCTGGGAGAGTTTGGCGATTTGGAGCCAGGTGAGATCACCTGAATTTGGAGGGATCGAGTCACCCAGGGTCTGGGGCCCCGTTTGGGTACCAGAGCGGGTGTGGCAGGCTCGGGCCAGGGGCCACGACCTGGCCAGGCCTCTTGGGGCGCTGCCTAACCTTCTTTGTGTGGAGAGTGGCCGGATTTGGTGCCCGGGAAAGAACCAGGTCGCCAGGGAAGAGGGAGGAGGGATAAGGGAAGATTTTAGGGCAGTTTTTACTCACACCGCGGCCTGGCCTCCCTGGTAAACTTGGGGGTATTGCTATGGAATAAAAACAATAAACAGTGATGGTCATTTCCCCAACCAGGTGGCTGATCTAAAGGTGTCCTCTCAGTGGGCATCAAATCACTGATGTTAGACCCCCACCAGCAGATGGGGAAGGTGAAGCATGTGCAGCTCAGACCCATCCCAAGTCCTGCAGAGAGAGCTCAGAAGTCTGCATTTCCCACCTGAGGCCATGTTGTAGGGCAGGGCTGGACACTGTCTGCTTTCTCTGGGATGCTGTTTCTTGCTGGGCCACTTTCAAGGACTGAGAAGTCGGCATCCTCCCTCTCTCCCCCTGAGGGCCTGTTTTTGCTCTCTCTTTAGTGGGTGGAAGACTGTGGAGAGGGCCACGCTTTGACCTTGGCTGTGCACTTACTGGGAGTGGGGTTGGAGCTGAGTCTCCATTTACTTAAAAACGGAGGGTGAAACATGGGTGTGCAGGTGCAGCGAGGGAGCCCCTTGGCCCTCTGAATCACGCTTTTCCTGGTGCCTGCTGAGCCTGGCCCCGAACTCGAGGTCTGGTTGGCATTTCAGCCCCGACTCTGGGTCTACCTCCACTGTTTGCTCCCTGTACAAACCTGGGAGGTTGTAGCGCTTGCTGGGTCCCAGTTTCCCCATCTGGAAAGTGGGGGTGATCTCAGCACTCAGCTCTAGGGCTTCTGTCAGGGTTAAATGAGTAAAGCCTGCAACTAGAGCAACTCATGCATTTCTGCACAGATTCAGTGGAGCCTCCCTCCGCCAGCCTCCACGGGGGTCAGCCCCGTACACCCCACCCTGCCATGCTGATGTTCAGGGGCTAAATAAATGACAGCTGTTTCACATTGACTGGAGGGAAGTGCCCTGGGGAAAATAAAGGCAGCAAGGGGGTTTGGGGTTTTTAAATTGGGGGCAGTGTCTCTGGGAAGATGTGGGCAGAGACCTCTGGGGTCCCAGGGAGGGGGCAGGGTGGAGTGTGTTCCTGACAAACATGTTAATTTATTGTTATCTTGATGGCTTTTGGGCCCTGCTCCCTCTGAGGCTTCTGGGCAGGGCACCAACCCTGTGGCTTTCATGTCCTGGTTTTGTTCCTCCAGCCTGGCGTCCCGAGCTGCCCTTGCAGGGGGGGCCTGGGGCGAGATGAGAGAAGGCGGTGAGAGGTATGGGTGACCTGGTACCTCTTGCTCCCCTCACCCTACCTGCAACCTCATCTTGCCCTCACCTGGCCCAGCCCCTCCCCTGAGCCCGGGGCCTGGTCCAGTGTCATACAGGATGCCTCCCCCAGATGTCCCTGGCGCCTCAGGCACCTTGTCCCCAGCTGACCTCGGCATCTTCCCTCAGACCTGCTCCTCCACCCCATCCTGTCTCAGAGTGGCGCCACCGTCCCCTGCCCCTGGGACAGAGACCCGGCCTTGTCTCCAATGCCCTCCCTCTCTTCCCAGCACACCATGTTCTCTGGTGCCTGCCTCTTAAATACGTCTTCCTCGGGCACCCTGCTCTCCCTCCCTGAGGCCCCTGCCCTGGTCCAGGTGGTCCAGGTGCCCTCCTGCACCTAACCCAGCTTCCCTTACCCAACTCCTTCCTGGTCTCTGGCCCTGGTCTTGCCTCCTCCCATGGTGCTCAGCACCTGCCATGGCTCCCGAGTGCGCTCAGGAGAAAGCTCAGCTCCTCGCCATGGTCCTGTGTATCGGTCCTGCCTCACAGGACACCCATCTTTCTGGGAACTCTGCTCCCATGTTCCAGCATTTGCCCTCCCTCCACTTAGCCTATGCTGCCTTCTACACTTCCATCATGACCCAACAAGCCTCCTCCTCTAGGAAGCCTTCCTGGACTCAGTCCGGGTTAGCTGCTCCCTGGGTCTTCGCTGTCAGAGGGTAAAGAGGGTGACTATCTTCCCAACCGGACGATGAGTCAACTGGGAGGGCAGGGCCCCGGCTGCTGCAGTCACCTCTGTGTCCCAGCTCTGCCCAGCACAGAACAGGGGCTCAGAGGGTGTTTGTGGAACCAGATACCCGGTGTGGATGACACACAGAGAGACAGAGAGGGAGAAGAACCTCCAGGGAGGTATGGGGTTCTGGTGATTTGCTGTCTGACTGAAGAACGTGACCAGGCTGTGGCTCCCAGGGGACAGGTTTCCATTTTTGTCCAGACCCGGCCAGGCTCCCTACCCTCTCACCCCCTCCTCTGCTGTCTTGGCCTTTCCAGCCCCACCCCACTTCCATGGCCTTTGCTTGGGCACCCCTGAACATGAGCCTGATTCCTTGGTCCTGTCAAGAACCACAGTTTCTTGGCACCTACTGTGTATGAGGTCCAGGGCTGGTAGTAAGTAGACCAAGTGATCTCTGTGAAGAGGATGGTGGGTGATCATGACATCAACCTCCATGGGTCTCCTCTGAGGGTGACGAGAGCGGGCACATGAAGAGCTCAGTGCCCCGCAGTGTGCACCAGGCACCACACCATAAGCATTTTTGAACACGTACTATGCACAGAGCACTGAGCTGGGCTCCGGAATGCAGCTATGAATTGGATAGAAAAAAACCCCGCCCCAGAGAACTGACCTGTCATTCAGGAAGACGCAAACACATGTAACGTTCTATCTGGTAGAGACAGTGCTGTGGAGAAAGAGGGAGCAGGGTGAGGGGCCGGCACAAGTGTTGGAGGCAGAGGTGGCTTTGGGTCGACACTGAGTACCAGAATTGAGCGGCTATTGGGAGCCCCGCTGACTTTGGGGGAGGAAGAGCTTGTGCAAAGGCCCTGAGGTGGGAGTATGGGGGTGAATGTGAGGCCAGTGTGCGCTGGAGCAGAGTGAGGGAGGCAGAGGGGATGGAGGCAGACTCCAGGGTTGGCTTTGCCTTGTCTTCTGGGATGGGCACCCTGGCAGGTGTAGGAGCAGACTGATGTGTTGGCAGGACCTTCTGTACCCCCATGGGGAACAGACAGAGCGGGTGAAGGAGAAGCCGGGAGTTCTGGGTGGCAGGGACCCAGAACGTGGTAGTCTAGGCTACTGCTCCCCTCAGCAGTGTGTTTTAGTCCGTCTGCCTGTTCTGCTCCCCCCTCTGTCTCTGGTGAATCTTCTCACCCCCCCCACACCTCCGGCCTGTACCCCAGTTCTGTATGCATAAAAAAATTAAATCCTTAAAAAAAAAAAAAGATCTACACGTGCGCCCATGACCTGCTGCAGACACGTGTACACAGAAGGTGTAAAGGATCATTGATGCGTCTTACACCTACTCTATGGTGACATGATTGCATCTGGCACCTGCTGGGCAAGAAGTTCGTGTCACTTGTTTCCTGCCTTTCTGCACCCCACGTGGAACAACTTCCATTGCGGAAGTGGCTCACGTGAGACCGCAGCTCTGTCTTACTAGTGATACTGTTATTCATCGGACAGGGTTGGCTTGACACATTACTGCGTTCTGCATCCCCTCCCTCTCAGGGAACCCATTCTTCAGACAGGGAAACAGAGGCTTTAGGAGCCGGGAGGGGAGGAGTCTGTGTCCCAACTGTCCGCTGGCCATCAGGGTCTCTTCCCTTGTCACCTCTCCCGTCACCCCCAGTTGCTTATTCATCAGCTAAGTCTTTATCTCCCGAAGGAGCCAGAGGACCTGGGTCCTCCTCATTCACCATGACCTGATCACGCAGACTTAATATTTGCTGCAGGGTAACAGTGGCCCAGGCCCAGGCAGGACTTTTGTACCGTGGGTTGGCTGAGGATGCTGGGGTTCTGTGGCCCCCCCTTGTCTCCCCAGGGTGAGGCCCAGTGAGCAACTGCATTGACTGACTCCTGGATCTGATCTCGGGTGTGGCTTCCAGTGCCAGCTGGCAAGGTCTGTCTGGGGTTGGGCTGGGGAGGCTGCTCTTGGGGAACAAGCGCCCCCGGGTCCTTTAATTCCTCATCCTAGAACTACAGGTAACCTGTGTAGGGGACTGTACCAGAGAGGACTGGGGTGGTGGGGGACTGGGGGAGCAAACCTCAGACCTCAGCACGGGCCGTTGCCTTTGCCTAGATACCCATCCTTCTTCTTCCTTAGCCTCTTCTCCTTCCTTCTCTTCCTTCCTCCTCCTCCTCCTCACCTCATTCACCTGGGTTTTTCCAAGTCATTCAGTCACTGAACAAATATTTACTAAGCATTGACTATCTGGCAGTCTGGGGGTACAGGCAACATACTGGAGGGAGACGGGCACTAATCAAAACATTGATATAGCATATCAAGTCAGGTGGAAACAAGCGCTATAAAAAAATAAAATGTAGGGCAAAAGGACAGAAAGGGTAAGGGGTGGGGGTAGGGGCTTCTTGAATGGAGAGAGGGTAGTCTGCAACCCAAGGGAAGCAGATGCTGCAAGTGTGAATGCCCTGAGGCAGAGAGGATGAGGATGCTAGGAAGCTGGTGAGAGCAGGGTAGGGGGAGAGGTCACCGAGAGAGCAGGGGACCCACAGAAGGTGCATGTGGGTGCGAGATGGCCCGTGACAGCTGGGTGGGGTGATGGTTAAAGTCCAGTTTAGGAGAGCCGGTGAGGCCACAGAAGGGAAGGGTGCAGCTGTGGAATGAAGGGCGGCAGGAGGCAGGGAGAGGGGTTGGGAGTGTGGGAAGGTGGTCTGTGGTAAGTGCCCAGGAGATATTTCCAGCTAAAAAGTGAAAATAAAAATCTAGTGAACAACTCCTTCGTGGCTTCAAGTAGTCAGAGTTCCAGTTTCCACTTATCTCCTG